TTTCCCTATCTGTATTAATAAAAGAGACCATGTTGTTTCTAGTGGTTGTTTCTCAACTCATTCTGCATCGTTAAGTCTTTAAACATGACAAAGCTCCAGAAAGCAAGGAAAAGTTACTTCACTTCTGTAGTTTAGAACAAAAAGATGACTCTTGTTAGATCTATTCAAAATCTTATTTATTGACTCAGAAAAAATGTGCCTGTATATATAAGGTTGTAAGTAAGGCTGGCCATTGTGGCCAAAATGAGTCATGGCTGTCACAGCAAAAATGCAAAAGTAACTAACTCATAGAAGAGGGTGGCAGGACTTATCCTGACCAACTTTTCCACTAAAAGTATTTAAAACTTAAAAAATACTCTCCATTTCTACTTCTGTAGAGAAAGGCAAATTTATTAAAAGTGATGGAGTAGTCTAGCTCAACATAAGCTAGGCTGGAAGATCATGAGTTCTTATGGACGTCTCATTAGCAGAAGACCTACCTTCACTCTGCGAGCAATACTGAGGAACTGACAGGTTTTGTCATAAAGCTGCTCCAGGTGTGCTCTGTCCCAGTAGAAGTCAGGAGTTATCAGCAAATCTGAACTCAGATTTATACGATGTCTGAAAAAGGACAGATACAGCTCTTCAAAGTCATTCTGGCAGTTTCAGAATCAACTGTTTAAACTTATTTCAGAGAAGCAATTAAAGCTTACTCAGTTTTCTACCAATTGCTATGGGGTTTCTTTTATTTAAAGGAAACTGGATATGGCTGCACAAAGTATATCACCTCATCCACTACAGAAAATAGAAACTGAGGGATACTAAACCAAATTTAAAACAAACGGTGCATCTACACGTACACTTAAATGCAAAGCAATAAGCTCCAGAGCAGACTTGAGCTGGAGCAAACTTCCTGGGCACAGCATCTACATGTGTGCCTGGGGCAGCAGCAATTTGAGCTGGAGTGGAAAAAGCCTGGGCTGGCAGGGGAACGGGGGTCAGCCTTGGGCTCCGGGTGGTGGCATTGGGCAGTGGAGGGGCTGGCTGGGGCACAATGGTGTTGAAGTACAGAGCCATGTGGCTAGATGGCAGGTAGGAGGAGTCTCACCCCCAGCTGGTTGGGCTGACTGTGCACCATTTATGCCAGCAGTCAGCATTTACACATGTGTTTCATTGCAGTTAATTACTCTGCTGTAATATATTACTGTCCCTGACTATCTTATGGTGGAATTAATTAGTTTACTGTGCCCTAATACATATGTAGATGTTCAGCCCTGATCCCAGTAGGTGTTGAATATCGGAATCACTAGAACTAGAAAACCAGCTCCCCTTCAGGCCTGGGATGTTTTCTCTCAACAGTATATAAAGTTCAGATGTCATTCAAACCTCCCACCTTGTGGCATTCAGGATCATTAACTTTTAGTTTCTTTCCAGCCCACTCAAACAGGCTCCTTCAGGTTCAAGATAGGGATATGAAACCTAAGGCTTACACAAAAGTTGTTATTTCCTTTCTCAGTCTATTAATTTAAAGAATAAGAGCATAAAAAATTACCATTTATTGGGTTAGACCAAAGACTTAAACTCCTATTGTCCTATAATAGTCTCTGAATTAAACCGACCTTGCCTAAGTCTTCTACAGCCAGCCAGGGCTGCTTTGACCCGGATCAACATGCTGTAGGCCCAGGCACATCTGTAAATGCAGTACCCAGGAGCAATAAACTATGGCACAAAGTGCACTGGAGTTTATTCAGTTGAATTAATTGCACGTGTAGATGCACTCAAGGTGTAGTATACTTTCCAGGCACTAGGGCAGTAGATTTCTTTAGATATAAAATGAAAAAAAATGTGGGATTCTTTGTAAAAGAGTTTACCTTAAGGCAAAGAGTTCCCCAATTTTTTGCATTACATCAGCATGAGAAAGTTTCACCTTTTTTCTTGACTTTAGTATCTGCAGAGTAGATAATGGTATTAGTCATAAAATATTACTGACCATCTTTTATGTAAGCTTAGTTAAAAAGTCACAAGCTCTTTACCCTCCGTAATGTACATGGCCCATGTCCCTACAAGCAAGAATGTGCGGTTTGCGGCGTCTCAAAGCCTTATGCGGCGCAAGTGATTCTGTTCGCTATGCTGCGTATTTGCAGTGCAGCGGCAAGTTTAGATAACAGGAAATCCCAGTACCTAAAACACCGGCAACAGAAAAAGGCGGGGTGGCATGTCACTGCAGCATGCATTGCCCGAAACAGGAGACTGGCCAGCCAGAGCCACACACTAGCTGCCAGCCTGGCTCTGCATGCCTGAGTGGCTGCTGCTGCAGCCCTGGAAGGCCTCCAGAACCTAACAAAGGCTGCTGGGGCCAGCTCAGGTGCTGGACCCAGCCTACCTACCCCACCCAGGGCAATCTGTGCGCCAGAGCAAATGTGCAGGGGTGTGCCCAGGGTCAACTATGTGCTCCTGGTATTTCTCCCTGGGGAAATGCACATTTCTGCTTGCGGGGACATGCCCTATGAGTTCAAATGATTTCTTCTCTTGTTACCTTGCAATTATCAACACTGAGGGCCTGGATACATGACACATTTGCTCTGGTGGAATTTTACATAACTTTTTACATCAATATAAATTATAACAGGATCCCAAATGCATAGAACCAATGGATATCAACAGGGTGCTCCAAGATCCTTTTAAGGTTGTTGCAGGGTGCTGTAAAATATTAGCTGTGTTGGGAATGCAAATACTACACAGAAACATTCAGGACAAAACTGAACTCCTGAATGCCCACTTTGCTTCAGTATTTCACCAGGCCAAAGGGAAAGACAAGTGAGATAAAGCTCATAGGGGGCATGCCAGGAATGACAGCCTCCCCACTGTGGATGTTGAGTGGGTGCAATACCAATTAGAAAAGCTAGACATTTATAAGTCAGCAGAATCAGATGGACTTCATCTGAGAGTACTGAAAGAGCTGGCTGAGGTCATCGCAGAAACCTTGGCAAAGCTCTTTCAGAATTCACGGGGCACAGGGGAAATCCCTGAGGATTGGAAGAGGGTCAACATTGTGTCCATCTTCAAGAAGGGGAAGAGGAAGTACCAAGCAACTATAGGCCAATCAGCCTAACCTCTATTCCAGGGAAAATCCTGGAAAAGTTCATTAAAGAATCTATGTGCACTATGCTCGCGGAAGGTAAGATTCTGAACGACAGCCAGCATGGCTTTGTCGCAGGTAGGTCTTGTCTTACCGATCTCATCTCCTTCTATGACCAGGTCTCTTGCCACCTGGACATGGAAGATGAGGTAGACATTATATACCTAGACTTCCAAAAGGCTTTTGATCTAGTATCCCATAATATCCTAGGAAAACTGGAAGATTGTGGACTCAGGTGCTCGACGGTTCAGTGGGTGGGAAACTGGCTACACGGTAGGACCCAGAGAGTTCTCATGAATGGATCTGTGTCATCCTGGCGCAAAGTGGCCAGTGGTGTCCCTCAGGGGTCCATGCTTAGACCAGTGCTTTTCAACATCTTTATCAACGATCTGGATGGGGGAGTGAAAAGCTTGCTAGCCAAATTCGTGGACGACACCAAGTTATGGGGCAATGTGGTCACATCAGAAGATAGGTTGCAGATACAGGCCGACCTAGACAGACTCAGGAGTTGGGCGGACCAGAACCAGATGAAGTTTAACGCTTCCAAGTGTAAGGTGCTCTATCTGGAGACAAACCTCAACATACAGGCTGGGTGGTGACTCGCACCACGGCCGAAAGGGACCTGATTACCATGACTGACCATTGCATGAATATGAACTGTCATTGCAAGGCAGTGGCCAGCAGGGCAAACAACACGCTGGCATGCATCAACTGATGCATCTCATGTAAAACTAAGGAAGTGATACTCCCACTGTACTCAGCACTGCTGAGACCGCAGTTGGAGTACTGTGTCCAGTCCTAGGCGCCGTGCTTCAATAAGGACATGGAAAAACTTGAGAGGGTCTAGAAAAGAGCTACTCATATGATCAGGGACTTGCAAGGCAAGCCATATGAGGAAAGGCTGAGGGACCTGGGCCTCTTTAGCCTGAAGAAGAGAAGGTTGAGAGAGGACTTGACAGCAGCTTACTGCTATATCAGAGGAGTTTATCAGGAGCTCGGTGAACAACTGTTCACTAGGGCACCTCTGGGGGAGGCCAGGACCAACGGATATAAACTCCTGGAAGGCCGCTTCAGGCTTAATATTTCCTTCAGCATCAGGGTGTCCAGTCTGTGGAATAAACTCCCTCCAGAGGTGGTGCACTCGCCTACCATGGAGGTTTTCAAGAGGAGACTGGGCAGTCACCTCACTCTTCCTGCCAGGGGGGGCTGAACCCAATGATCTGCAAGGTCCCTTCCTGCCCTTAACAATCTATGAATCTATAAAACATCATGACCTGTTGTGCTCTTTCTTTGCAACAGAATAATTGCTCTATTATTTTTCTGTAGGCAAAAATGAGTGAAAGTTAAGAGCTAGTATTTTCTGAGGGATGACTTGAGTCTAAAATGGTTGAGAACCACTGGCACAGAGAAGCAGTTTATACTAAGGTAACAAAGCGTAAGCTACTATTTCCAAGTCTCGCCACTAGCTGGCAGGGTAGGACCATAATAGCCTGTTTGTACTGAGCAACTGCAAACTTACACGGGTGGAATTTTACCTGATTCTTTTGAGAGTATTCAATGCTAGATTAAGCAAAGATACCCTAGCACAGGGGTTTACATCACACATTTGCTCCTTGTTTTCATAAGTAATTATATTGTGGTGTGCTTAGGCCAGCCCCCTCAGCAGATCTGCAGCCAGGGGTGGGGCCACCAGGCCCCTTTGCCAATCAGCAGCAAGGAACAGGGCCACCACAAAAAAAAATCTCCCTCCCTCCCCGGCTCAGAACCCCCATCGTCCTGGCTACGCACCGCCCTACCTCTAGCCACAGCCAACAGAATCACAGGGACAAAGGATTCACATGTATTTTCACCAATGAACTGAAAAATAGGACTTTCTGCAGCCTATTCCTCATTTAGAAATGGACAGGGGACAAAGGGTTTAAAAACAGGACAGTCCAGTATAAAACAGGACCAATTGCCACCCTATATCTGTCTGGGCCTATTGATCTTTAATAAAGAACTAGGGAAGAAAAGAATGGAAACACAAACCAAACCAAACTGAAAAAAGAAACACCTCACCTCAGGAATTGACTGGATAGATTCCACGAACATGTCCAAAGATGACTCCCATATTGCCAGCTTTACTGAAGCAGAAAGTTAACAAAGTAGAACATCTCATGAGTTCTCTCTGATTTCAAATAATCATTAAACACAGTGGCTAATTTGCCAGTGTTTCTAGATTTCATTATACAAAACATGTACTCCGATTAATTCAATAGTATCAATCAGCAGCTGGGGGCTGCACATCAATTTCTCAGCAGCTGGGGGCTGCACATTGCACAGGGGAAACTTGCATAGGTAGTGGGCTCCTCCCACCCCCCAGGTTTCCAAGCAGGCTTCCCCAGTCCCCCCAGCTCCGTGGGCTCTCCTGGCCTGCCCCCTCTTCAGTGTGTGGCTTCTCCTGGATTCCCCCCACTAAGCCAGGCCTCCCAGGTCCCCAAATACCGGGCTCCTTGTCCCACAGGTCCTGCTAACCTGTTCCCAGGGGCAGCAACAGGTAACAAAAAACCAAGGAGGGAGGGGGAGCCCTGAGAACCCAGCTGCAGCAACTGAGTGGTGGGAGTGGTGCCTGGGCGCTGCAACTTCACCCCTTGCAGGCCACAGTTCTGATATAAATGACAAATAGTCAAAGTATCACTAGCACATTAAGCCTGAACTTATATGAATTTACTTCGAAACCATCCAATATCAAGTACTTTTTGGGTTCAGTTTCTACATTTTATAGTCAAGTCAATGAGAACCTTTCAACTTGAATAGAAAACACATCAAGCTTTTAAAAATACCATATTTCACAGTGTATAAGTCGAGGTTTAAAGCGCAAATATTGAACTTTAAATTTCCACCTTGACATATACACTGTATCCAGGGCCTGTCCCAGCTAGCGCACAGTTTCTGGGCAGGGCTGCTGCTCCCACTGCTGCAGCCACCGGGGTACTTGGCTTGCCTAGCATCCAGCAGCTCCTTGTCTCTGCTGTAGTGCTTGGGGCATCAGGTAGGGAAGCGGCAGGGATGGAGGAGCTGCAGTGCAGAGTGTGGGGCTGAGGCTGGCGGGAGCATGAAGCCTGTACTCAGGGGCGACAGAAGCGTGGGTGGGAAGGATGTGGATGTGTGAGGGAGGGGGGGGGGGCATGAACCCCCCCATACACTCCCCCCTCATGGCTCACAGCAACCAGCAGGCGGTGGGCTCTTGTGGCCCACATAGTTGCTGCTGCCCCATGGTGCACAGTTCTGTTGGCACTTGTGTGTCACTGGGGTAAGCCATGTGCACTGGAGCTCACTGCCTTCCCTGCCCCCTGCCTGTGCATGGTGGCAAGGAGCACAGCCTGCCTGGCCTGTCTCTATTGTGCTGCTTGAAGGGGCCAGGGCTGAGATTGACACTTGGCTGGTGCAGACCAGGTAGCACTGGTTCCAGCCCCTGTGAGCGGTACTGCCTAGGCTGTACCAGCTAAGCACCATGCCTGGTTCCAGCCCCTCCTAGTGGCACAACAGAGGTGAGGTGGGCAGGCCATGCTCCTTGCCACCATGCACAGGCAAGGGGTGGGGAAGGCAGCTGGCTTCAGTACCAGCTCGCAGGAGACAGGCCTAGGCTTGGCACTCAGCCGTGCTGCTTGCAGGGGATGGGGATTGGGACGGGGCTGGGCTCAGAGCTCAGCTGGTGCAGCCCAGGCAGCGCCGCTTGCAGGAGATGGGGCTGTGCCAGCTGAGCATGGAGCCCAGCCCCAGTTTATACACTGTGCCTGTCCTAATCCTAACTTTTCGCACCAGAAAACCGGGGTTGACCTATACACTGTGAAATATGGTAGTCTTTTTCAAAGAAGCAGAGAAATATTCCAACAATGACTGTTGATTTGAGAATTCCAAGTTCTCCCATGTCTTAAATGTGTCTAACTGCAACCCATCTTGCCCACCCATTTGCAAAAATATTACTGAGCACTGCTGCCTACTTTTTTTAAGGTCCAATTTTACAAGGTATAAAACATCAGTGGTAATCCATGGTAGTAAACAACTCTCAGGAATACTTCTGTAGTGTTGTATGTTGACAGCAACACTGCCTCCAATATGCCTCATAGCAATTTTCTTTATGTGGCTGCTTTGTGAACAGGAGAATTTCTGAAAACTAATCTTGTTTATAGTCTTTTCTGCATGGTCTTAAAATTGGATGTCAGTAATGAAAGCCAGAGATTCTGAGCTATATGACTGTACTTTGCTCTTTGAGTAAGGCAGTTTCCGTATGTTTCTCTCAACTGATGTCAATGCTACATTTACAGCTCTTCCTTAAAAACAGCCCTACATAGCAATTTTCCCTAAAAATAGCTGTGGGGGAAAAAAGAATCAGATTATAGGCTGCTGTTGTAAGGATATAGCATTCTCTACTAGCAATACTATTTTGGTATGTTATCCAAGATGACTGGTAGTGATTCCAGTCTTGGAGACTACAGCTGTTGCTAACCAGGTGCTTGAAGAGTAGGGTTGGGAAAGAGAATAGGGAAGAAATCATGGTAAAAAGAGGTATGCTGTCTTGTGCACACTGACCGTCTTTCAGAAGATGTACATAGCGACTGAAGCAGGGCTCTTTTTACAAAGCACATATTACAAACAATGGCACTGATTCTCTTCTACTTAAGCCACAGGCAACTTACATGCACACTTCTTATTATAAAAAATGGCAGATACCCAAATGGGAAAACAGACATTCACCACTTGATAAATGTGATTCTCTCTTCCCCTTCCTCCTCTTACCCTCCATGTACATGAAACTTGACACAACATATAACCTTAACTTACCAGACAGACAAAGAGCATTTGAAAAAGCAAATTTCTCCAGAATACCTTCATCAGTATTCAGGTCACAATTTAACAAGATTTCTCCTTTATGAAGCTTTGACTGCCCTCTGTGAAAACAGGATTGAGACCTCTTCAATGACTAAGTCACTACTAAAAGGAACAGTCAAGGTACAGTCCTTTACAAAAGGGAATAACTTATGCATCTCTTGAAAACACAAGATGGAACAACCTGTACAACTGCCCTTCCAGAATCACCTGCATTTTCCTCTTAGTCATGACTCAAATCACAAACAAGGACACTGAAAGCCACCTCTTCAGGGCTCAGCCACAGTATCTGCAAGAGTAGTAAATCAGAACTACTTCCCCATGGCAGCTGCAGCATTACTATACAAGTGAGAGAATTCAGAGCAACAGAGGACTATAGAAGTCAGATTTCTTTCCACTCGTTGTCCCTTCCGCTGGTCTCACTCTGGTTCTGCTTCTTTGTTCCTGTTGTTCTTTATTTCCTGCTATCCACGCTCTTACCCTACCCAACCCTACATCCCTTTCATGCTGCTACTGGGGTGCTCTTCCTACAACACTTTAGTGTTCAGGGAACAGAATGAAAATGTGAATCCTGCAAGCTTTAAGGCGCTCCTTTAAAAGTCCCACTTCAGAGTTTGGGAAAATTTTAATATAAACACAGCTGAAGGCAATAGTAAAAAATCCCCCAAGCCTCTGGAACACATCTGCAGTTACAAATTCTATAACATTACGTCATGCTCAATTTTCCATGAGCCAGAAAAACTGGCATCTTACAGAAGAGAGCACTTACAAACTCTCTGGGGCATAGATGGTCTTTTTGTTCTCTACATAGCTCCTCACACAATGGGACACAGTCTTTGACTAGGAACCTTTGGTGCTACCAAAATACTGCTGCTTCCAATAAATAAGGGTGTGTTATTCTACGAATCAGCACTGACCTCTACTGTGAGATCACTCTCTGCAAGAACTTCAGCTCATTAATCAATATGTGATTTAACAAGCAGCCAAGATAAGGAAGTACTTGTATGTACTTTTTTTTTTTTTTTTTTTTATCATTTGGGACTCTTAAAAAGGACCTTTAATTGTGCAGATATAGTTTGTAAAACTAAGTCAGTGGCAGGAGAGGCAGAGAAAGGAGGTAGAAGTAGCAGCTGTGTGGACGCAGTGTCCAGCCCCAACACAGCTCCCCAGTGACTGGAAGCTAAGCCTATGCCATAGCTGGACTGGGGAGCTGTGGAGCAGGGGTGGCAAAGGTGCAACACGTTGTTGCCTGGCTCCAATGAAGTTTCCCACTGCTTAGCCTGGGCATTAGCACTAGCATAGGCAAAGTCCTGGGGCTCTGCATGTCACGTGTTGCCAACTCTTGCATGCAGTATATAATCAAAATCACCAATAATACCACAAAGCCATTTTTAAAAGAAATTCTCACTACAAACATAGAAGTTCATCAAGACCTTCCGGGTTTAGCATTTGTAGCCCTTACTTTCTTCTTTTTGAAATACCTTATTTTACTACTTTAGAGAGTGACTAAAGAGGTTTTTATACTAGCTGCTTTTCCCTTCAGTCATCTCTTCTGAATATCTATTAACTTATGTGTAAAGGTGGCTAAGAATGCTTACTCTCCTCTCCTGTAGTTAAGCTCTTCATTCTCCCAGTGGACCAGTGCAGTCTCATAAGGCTGAATTTCATGCCGCTCCAGCACTCGCATTATGTTTTTCACCTAGAAATAAAGGCAGCTGCATATTATAATGGTAACAAACACTGCACAGTCCCCTTGTGTCTTCATGTATGTAACAATTTAAATTAAGGCAATTTGCCTGCTGAAGTTGTTTAAAAAGCCTGGGACTTCTGCCCATGCCTCTTCTCCCTGTCCTCCTGGGTCAGGTGGCTTTGGCGGTGTGTCAGTGGCATGGGGTTTCTCTGTGCCTGTGTCATATTTAAATTACATTTAAATCCATGCTGCTGCTTCTCCCAGGCTCCCCCTAAGCTGTGTTGCAGGTGCAGCTTCTGGAATTCAGAGTGCTGCCACTGGATCACATTTTGCTGCCTTTCCTAGTAATGAATACAATGGACCCAACCCCTTGTTTTTCTGTTCCTTTATACTGGGGGAAAGTGGGTGCTGCCTTTCTGACAAAACAGAAAGGTAGCATTCTATCTCTACTTCTAGTTCAGTTTAATTAACATAGAAAAATCTGCACAAGGCACGTGGCAAAGAATGGCACAGCACAGTGCCCCGCAATGTCATGCTAGTGGAGTTGAGTAGTAAAACAGACAGGTGCTGTATGCCAAATTATTATTTGTTTCTTAACATTACACTGCTATATAAGCAATCCACACTTAAGGAGAGTATGAGACAGCAAGCCGCCAGAGCTGATTAATATTCCATCTGCCTCCACAGACCACCTGTACAAAATCCAACTACTTAGGCATTGGAACTGACAAGAATTTCACCTTAATCTGCTTTTATAAAATCTGAAATAATGCAGCTCTCTACTTACAGTTTTATTTTCCACGTTCCAAAACACAACAGACCCTTCCCTGTGTTAATAAAATGGAAGGAAGAATTAGGCGTATTACACTGGTTTTTGGATGTTAAAGCTACATTCATTTTGCGCACAGGCAATTCTGCTGTAGTGAATCAAGAAAATTATAATGACTGGTCTTCAAAAGGCCCCATTAATGATGGTTTTTTTGGCACTAGTTAATTTAATACCACAAAAAGGAAAAAAAAAGTGTTAAAGTTAGAATAATTAAAATATTTTAGTGCTTGAATTGTTTTTCCTTCAACTTCAGTGGAAAATACACATTTTATTTTTTTTAAAGAAAGATAGCTCACTAAATCAGTATGTATCATATGTCATAGGCTTGGTTTGCAACTTACCTGAATAAAAAGATCATTCCAGAATCGTATTCTTTTGCAGAGTTTTCTGTGCCAATCACCAAAATGTTTGCTGCATCTAGTTTAAAAATAAAGGGAGGGGATAGCAACTTTAAATTACAGGAAGTGCATTTCCTGTATTTTAAACAAGTTAGCGCTAAACTTTACTTAATTCCAGATGAATCATTTTTATCTATGAATTCTTCCAAAATCAAGTTGTATATTTGTTCTACTAATGGAAATAATTCTCAGGACACAAACTGTATGCAAAAAAGTATAATATAAAAAACTTTAGGGGTTCTCTGAAGTGACCCACACAATCCAGATTTTAATTCTTCATTCTGTTCCATCCAATTCCCTTTTGAATCTTTGAGTGCTTTTGAAAATAGCACATACGACTCAAGAGAACTGATTGTGGATGACAGGTAATATAACAAGAACAGAAAGGAGGCCCAGGTGTAAAATGAGGGAACCAAGCAGAGAACATTGGACAGCATCAGCTGGTCTGAGGAGTCATTCTTGGGCACTCTCAAAAGGGCCCCTGGCAGATGTTATATTTATTGTGCAGTCAACACAGTCACATGATAAAATGTAACATGCCACACATTCAGGGAATTTATGGTGCAATAAAATGGCCACAAATATGTTCCATGTTAAATATGTAATATCTCTGTGTCTGGTTTCTGTCCAGCTTTAAAATGAATGTGTGGCATGTTACCCAGACCTGAGCCTGCCCCCTGCCTGATGCCAATGATTTGACTGTTAGTATGAGAAAGGGGCCAGGTGCTAGGGTCCGAGACACAGCTGCCGCATGCCCAGTTCTGCAGAGGCAGTCCAGGTTCCTGGACCCTGTCCCACAGTGCAGGGCTTTGTTTCCCTGCAGGGGGGCAGCCTGTTGTACTGTGTGCAGCTGGGGATTAGGGAGCTCCCAATCCCCAGCTACATGCCTTGGCAGTGATGAGATTAGGCTCTGAGGAATGTTATGCTCAATCCCAAAAGGCAAAGAACAGAGTGAAAATAAGAGTTGGCATTCCCTGAAGGGTGCCTTGTGTCTAGAAAGGTTGAGAACAAATACTCTAGAACCATGTTGTAATACTCAGGGGCACATCTTAAATTCCTCATTATATAGAGATTGTGGCTAGAAAAAATTACTAAATATGTAAGGCCAACATAAGAAGTGGCAAGAAGTGTAGCAATGACTAGAGAAAATGCCTCAGTGAGAAGTCCAGACAGCTACCTGCTGCAAGAAACAGAGGTGCTGGAGGTTGTGGGCTCTCCCCCGACTTTTTTCAATTAGGAAAGAAAGTTTGAAAAGAATCTGAAAAGCCTAAGAGTGTAAGTAATATTTTTACCACTTTGTCTTTCTTTCCCAAATGCCCAAAGTTGGGATACAGTAAAAGAAAATAAATAAATAAGTGTGTGGAAATACACATGCACAATGCAAAAAATAAAGTAGGAAAACATACAATTTTCCATGCTCCCCTTATTTCTACTGGAAAGAGAGAGAAACGAGAAGACTAGAAAAGGAGAACACACTAAAATAATACTTTTGTTAACACACACATCTTGTTCTGAAATATAACATTTGAAAGATCCCATACAGTTCTTTTTACCAAAAAAAGGTTTCAAAATGATTTCTTCTTGGATCAGCTTTTAGGGTACACACTTCATTGTTGAACCAGCTTCATACATATATATTCTTGAAAACCACAGGGCATTAGCAAGTGTTGGAAATGTGGTTTCTGTAGAAGGTTTTTATTTTTTAACAGTTTTCAGAGAAGGCAATCTAGTTGAGAGGTAGCACGTGATGCAAATGTCAGAGATACAGGATATATAAAGTTTAGAAATTTACTACTGAAACTGACTCTTTCTATATATTTCCGCATATTGTTTCCCAATATAAGGTAATATGTCATAATAGGTTGAAAATTCTACCTTTAGGCAAATTTATTTCAATATATCCCTCTGCAGACAGGTCCTCAGACAGATTACCAAGATGATACTCATCGGCTGTTGCATAGGCTATGCACTGCATCTGATCCTGTGTTGAAGGAATACAACCCTGGGTTAAGGAAAGGCTGAAGTGACACAATTACAAGACATTTGCTTACCTCTGTACCCTATTTAGTTACACACACTGACATTTGTTCATTTATTAGCTTTTCTATGATGATTCGTCACCGTGAGCGCCACGTGCCTTGCAAATACTAACGAATCTGACTTTTTGGTACAACACAGGGTTTGACAACCATCCGTTTTACAGATGGGTGATGAATAAGTATCTCAAGGGGTGTTAAGTCACAGAAAGACCCCTTAGGCAGACCCAGATCTCCTGAATGCCAGTCTGGTACTTTAACAGCAAGACCATCCTTCCTGTTTTACTACTGCTAACACCTTCTTACTGGGATTAAGTCAGGGGTAGGGAAAATGGTGGATCCAGCCAGCACCTGGACTCCATTTTCCAGCAGCCCCACCTGCCTACCTCACTTCTGGCAGCAGCCCCATTCCAGCTGCCTGGCTATGTGACCTTCCTGTGCAGGTCCCACCCCCAGAGGTGAGCGGATGAGCTGGGTGCCTGGGCAGCAGTAGCTGCTGGGAAATGGAGTTTGCCATGGGCCAGATACAGCCCATGGGCTGGACTTTTCCCACCTCTGGCTTAAGGCCTAATCCTGCTTTCAAAGAAGTGACTGACATCAGTGGTGAAAGACAAAGGCCCCAAGGTGAGGGGGTAGTTCCCTCCCACCCTATGATCCTGTCCAAGAGACAGCTGCTACTGCAGACTGCATATTCTTCTGAGCATGGAGCCTCTTTCATACTTGCAATTCCAAGGATGTAAGCCACCCTCCAAAGTGTCTCAAGTGCAGTTTGGGCCATATGCTTGCCCTGCACCAGACAAAAGACCTGACCAGCTGTAAAAGTGAGTATAGGCTTTCCCTTGCAAAGAGGTCACGGTAGGCATGCAACAGCATTGTGTTCTCCACTGTGCTTAATCAAGAACATCAAACAGCTGCTATAATTTCTCCAAAAAAAAAAAAAAGTTATCTTACATCTAAGCATCTAAAATACCAGATTGAGAAAAACTACAGGCACAGTGTAACAGATGTAAAGAGGACTGTCACAGACTTACGGATGAAGCAGACACATGGGGAGGCAGCTGGACTGTGACCAGCGTAAGATACCTTCTGATGAATTGAAGAAGTCAGTGGCTTTCAACCTTTCTTCATTTGCTGACCCCTAAAAAATTTTGAATGGAATTGTGGACCCTTTCACACTGTAAGTGTGGGTAATCACATACTTTTGATTAATCATAGTCATCTTTCATGGACCCCTTGGACATAGTCTGCAGACCCCCAGGGGTCCAAGGACCACAGGTTGAAAACCACAGAAATGTCACAATAAACTGACTTGCAAAATCTATCCCTCTCTGCATACTGCCTCCCTTGTTCATATGTTGCTAATATCTCTCCTTACCAGTCTTGTTAACACATTACTTTCTGGTTAGTTTCAACACCATGGCAGCTATCCAGAAAGGAATGGACCTCAATACTACTCATTTCCAAGTATGTGGATTTTTTTTAAACTTACAAATAATGGGAGAGCTATACTGCAAACAAATAAACAAACACAGAAAAACAGAAATATAATCATTTGGCAGAACTCCTATCCAAAAGATGTTTTATTTTCAAATGCAAAGGACCCTCCCACAATGCTCATACTGGCTATATACAAGTTTTTCATGGTGCTAGAAAAGGCTTCCTATCCACAGGGAAAAAAATGGATGCATTCTAATAGAACTGTTCATAGGTGCTCACCAAAATTAATGCAGCTTGACAAATCACTTCAGCCAAGGAGATATTATTCCCAGTTATAAGCAGTATCGGTACATTAAACTTTCTTTTCTTTGAGCATTTTTCTGATCAGAACCTTCATCTTCATTGTGCATAATCTTATTTCAATCATGATTAACTTAAAATTCACTCTTATTTTAATTCACCAATCACCTAGTACAACGGTTGGCAACATTTTTGGGCAGAGTGCCAAAAACACCTGCAATCTTGACTTGTAAGATGTTGGCATCTCAGGGGCAGATGGTGGGGGAGCTGTGAGAAGCCGAATCCTTGTTGTGGCAGCTTCCCAGGCCCCTTCCCTGCTGTCTACCCCAAAGCACGCATGCCAAGTGACATGCCTTTATATGCTGCACTCTGGCACCTGTGCCAGGGGTTGCCTACCCCCCATCTAGTACAAACAGCTTATCTTGATGGACAAATAAAACATTATTTTTTAAATCATTACTACACTAAGGAGAAGTGAGGTCTATGCTCCAACAGATTTTCATGACTAGCGTATGCAAGGCTTGAGTTAACAATGGAAAGTGTTTTCAGCAGAACTGCTAGATTTAAAAAAATGTTTTAGTAGAGTATTTCTTGCAACAATCCAGACTCTTTAAACCCATGTAATCTATATCTCTGCCAGAAGTTCCTAGACATTTCTAATTATTAGATATGACCATGGTCCTTCATGGAACAAATGTTTGGGCCCAACTTTATACAGAGAGGCATTTGGGCCCCATTTCCATCAGTTATATCTAGTCAGTCAGAAGCCCTCTACATTCCTCTAGTTTTTTCAGTCTTCCACAGTTCTTTGTTACTTGTCAGTGTTTTAGCAGTGTGCCACAGCACAGTCTTTCCCATCTGAATTTGCAATTTTGGCAGAATGTGCAGCTCCATAGTCACCAAAGGATAACTGATTAAGTCACAAGCTTCAAATTAGGGATGTAAATATTATTAAAAAAGTTATCCATTTAACCTCCTCTAATTGTATTGGTTAAACAGTTAATGGAGAACACAGCAGCTGGGACACAGCTGGGAAGGCAGTGGCAAGCCCAGACAGACAACACAACCCATGTGAAGCCCCTTGCTGGGAGGGAGGAAGCACCTGTGAAGGAGCAGGTAATTACTTAATTGCTGAGTTATTTAGGTCACCTGCTGTTTTATTCTTTAACCTCATAGACTATGGGTACTAGTCCCCTTTGCCCTCCCCTCCTTGTTCCTCCCTCCTGCGTGCCCTGCCACCTTCTGGTTCCTGCTGGGGCACTGCACAATTTCCCTTCCCTGCCAGAGTGCACCCTGCCCCATGCTAAACAATAACAGTTAGCTAACTGGTTATCACTGGGCCTATCAGTTAAAATAATCAGTCATTTAACTTTTCACATCCCTATTTCAAATGAGAGTCTGGTGCAATATAAAACCATTTGTGTGCACACAGTGCCTCAACTGCCTCAAGATTCACTTGGTAGGCAGCTGTTCTGTTGTGTCATCTTCACCTGGAAAGCTCAAAAGGACAGAGTCAAAGCCAGGGGTAGGCAAAATGCAGCCTGTGGGCCAGATGTGGCCTGCCAGGCCATTCTATTTGGCCCGTGGGGCTCCTAAAAAATTTAGAAAATTAATATTTATCTGCCCCTGGCTACCTGTCATGTGAACCTCAATGGCTTGCCAAAACTCAGTAAGTGGCCCTCCGCCTGAAATAACTGCCCACCCCTGGTCTAAGCTCTTGTCCTTTCTGGTGGTGCAGGCTTGTTGGAATTCAGAGTGGGTACCAGTGACCTCTTCCATGTGTCACTAAGCCACTGTCTGGACTCAAAAACAAGAAGGAATTACTCTAAGCACCTGACCCATCTATGGCTCATCACTTGAACATAATGGAACTAGTTGTGTTGGATGGGTGAGCATTAAAAGCCAATGCAGTAACAAAGCAGGGGACCTCTGTTATAAATGGAAACCCTGCCCCCCAGTCTTCCTACCTGAAGTATATGAACATTTAAAAACAGAAAATCTGGAGTAGAAACTTATCCTTTGGCACCTCCTCTTAGGGATACAGGAACCACCACATCTAATGGATTTCAGAATCCTACTGGCTGCATTGTTAGGCTCAGAAGTGTGTTGTGCCTTTGGGCTGCAGCAGCTAAGCATAATGGCAATAATCACCAATTCACTGACAAAAACCAGCAAAGGACTTTTGACTAACCCTTGAATCTAACTAATTACTTCCAGAAAAATCTGCCATTTTGTTATGGCAATATTTGGCCATTTCTGCCTGTATCCAACTCTGTTTAGTAATAGCTCTATTGCAGGTAACATTCAAATGTTCTCCTCCAGGCAAAGATGACAATGACATTTCTTTTTCTTAAAAGTTTCCTGATTCTGTAAATCTTCAGGCCCTTCTGGACAGACAAAGCTAGTCTGAGTTAGAACTGGAACCCCCTCATGGATTACCTGACTAAAGCTCTCATCACAAAAGGCAAGTTATAGCCAAATATACTCTCTCAAGGCCACTTATAGCAACATTCTCTTTTCAACTGTAGTGATATGGCATCTATGGCTGAAAGGATCCAGGTAACCTTAAGATATGCACAGAAAGAATCAACTGTTTATTTTTCAAGGAATCAGAACTTCAGGGAGACAAGTGGCACCAGGGAAAAACTTTTGGATTCTTCATTTGTTGGGTGTGTGCTAGTCATCTTGCAGAAATCAGTCACATCTTTAAGTTTTACTCAGTCATGTATTGAATTCCTTGTACTAGATCTCTACAGGGAAGTATGTAAAGAGGTAAAAAAATCAGCATGTCCTTGCTTTAAGTGCTTTGTGTCAGCTTGTGCCTCTCAGTGACAGCATACTAATATTCCAGTAGATGGAGCTATGCAACAAGGAAAAATCACAGAAAAGTCAGTTCTGAAACAGGGAACATGTGTTCATTAAGACCAAGTTTGAGAAATCTTTCGGCACAGTATTTTGCAATCTGCAAACAACTTCTGAAAGTACACAACTATTTTAGTACTTTGCTTTCTATTCTGAAAAGACAAAGCAAATTGTGCCCAATTACAGTGGCAATACATATTATTTGCATAAATATTCTGCTTTTGAAGGTCTCAAAAATTAAGAGGTTTTAATATTTTATAGTGTGCCTTTCACAGACCTCAAAGCACTATGATTTGCCATCTATAAACCACCATATGATAAATCACTTCAGTTCATCCACCGACTAAACGCAACACTTTTGGATATATGTGCTGGCTACAATAGTGGTGCTGAAATACCACAGAACTGTTTAGGGACAGAAGTGGAGAAACCAGGACTCTCTAAAGTGACCGGAGAATTCCACTAGGCAGGAATTATACAATATTCATTGATGTTTGCATGACGTTGAAGCAAACTTTGCAAAAAAATCTCAGTTTTCAATTTCCATGAGTAGACAGGATCTGCTGATCTTTGGCACAACATTTTAAAATGTGGAAGCTTCCTATGAAAGGATGGTCCCATTCCAGATGGTGTCCTATTCCAGATGGTATTACAATGCAGGACCCCCACTCTGCACTGGAGATCAGATATAAGAGATAACTAGAAGGATGGATACTGCTAACACCAGTGTCTACGGTAACTATGCTTTCCTTGAAGGTTAGGACTATAGGCATTGTCTGTCCCAAGGAGTTTCATGCCCAACCGATTTATCCAGAAAAGCATTATTTTGTGGGTAGACAACAGGCTTAGGAATCAAGAGCTCGGGATAGATTTTCTATAGACAAACTGTATGTCCTCAGGGATGTCACTCTACCAGTGCTCCAGTTTCCCTATTAGTAAACCAGGACTAATTCTCTACCTCAAAGGATGTCTCAAGGCTGCAAACATTAATGCACTCTGTACTTTCAGATCTGTTAATAGTTTCTACAGCTACAAATCTCAATTTATTAACTGAAAAATCCATGTGAACATGTAAGAAATTAAATGCACTAGCATACTACCCCAGGTATTAATGCTTTCATAACCCACATTACATTCTTTTGGAACAGTGAGTACCTTAAATATCTGGATCCTGAAAACTGAGGTTACTAAACAGTGTTTATTTGAATTGAAGTGTCAGTGTCAACAAATGTTTAATACCATTTCCATTTTGGCTTTTGTGTGATCTGCTCCTGCCAGTACGAGCTTACTAATTTACATCCTAGAAGGCTGTGTAAATGGCAAAGTAGAAGCAGTATAAATAGTTTGTTGCTATCAACACTTCAATTTTAGCAGTGGAAAGCTTCCCAGATGATATGCTGTATCAATGCTAGCTGTATCCAATACCTTCTTTTGAAAATACTCTGGTCCCCTATAGCTTGTATAAAAGGCAAGAGCTTTCTATCTTAGGGATCTGAATCTTTCAGTTGGATGATTTCTGAACCCATAGTTGTTCTTTTTTTGGCAGTCCTGGCAAGGTTTCTTCTGTATGACAGCAGTGATGGAACTATTTAAAAGGATCTTCTACCTAGAAGCACTGTGTTTCTTGAAAGAAATAACTGCATGCATGTTTAAATAATTACTGAAGCCTATTAAACTTTCAATAATTTGCCTATTAATTGAAACTGTTTTCTTTTCCAACACATTTATTACCAGCTTTCTGCCTCTGATTTAAGTAAGGACACAAATAAAAATTTCCAAACAGTTTAGAAGTGAAGTAAATGCTCACCTTTGGCAAATGTTCTTGTATCTCTTGTGAAACAAACAACAATGTTGTCTATAAAGTTTTGGCAAGTGTTGTCAAAGAATTGTCTTTGATTACTTTATTCCTATAGAATACCAAAGAATGTATGATATAATCATGTAACTCTCATTTATAGTCCGATTCCAGCTGGTTTGTACACTCAACTGACTTGCTAAAGAAATTTTATCAACTTCGCAGGCATTACCTGTATGAAGTTACCTATCAATAACTGTAAATTACAAGCAAACAAGAGCAACAATCTTACTCCTGATGGTTTCAGTAGTTAGTACAACACCCAGAGCATGTTTCTTCCTCCTCCCCCCACTTCAGAATACTAGAATCCTGGTTTTCTCCGATTTTAAAAAAATCCCAATTTTCAGTTAAAAAAAAAAAAAAAGTAATCCCAAATCCACATTTTTCCATGATGAAATGCCACTATCTGTCTATATTGATGGTGTTTCATTTAAATGATGGAAAAATTTGGATGTGGGGTTATTTTTTTAACCAAAAACTGGGGATTTTATTAAATCAGAGAAAACCTGGATCAGTGTGGACAGACCAGGGGAAAACATAGGAAGCTTCTAGAAATAGAGGTTTTAGTATAATCTATTTTTCTGAAGCTTGGCATGCGGCAGCTATTCTTTTAAAAACTAGGACAGCAAAGTGAAGCCCCAAAACACTGAAATCGAACTGAAAATTTTAGAAATTAATTATTCTATTTTCTTCTGTTTCTTCTTTTAGCTGGAGAGAGCTAATCAATGAGACAAGCAGAAAAAATGTTCAAGATAAATTTAAATGATGCTAAAGAGTGGATTTTGTTTTTCAATATTACACACATGGTTAGAAGCAGGTCACCTAAACTCAACTTAAAAAAATCGTTAAATCTCATTCAGTTTCAAAAATATAGTTTTCTTCATCTATTGGTACATTTCTCTCATTTTAGACAATACTTTTCTGTCCACCTGTTTCTAGTGATTGCAGTTTGCAGAAGCCTACTATCTATGTTTTCAACCACATAAGTGAACATATAAATTCCCTTCCCTCCAGCAATTTGTTTTTATGAAAACAAGTTTAGGTCTAAGCTAAAATAAAATGCTCTTGAGTATTATACAAACCACACAGATTTTATACTTTACCTCAGTTTCAGAAAACAGTGGCTTGGTAGATCTGGAGGGCTGTTTGGTCCTAGGTGCCTTTGGTGGCCTCTTAGAGGGCACAATATTTTGTTTTGGTATTGTCTGACCAGTTGATACAACTGGATAACATCTTTTTGGAATTTTGAGCAGCTTTTTAGCACTCCAGCCTAAGGGGTTGTCGTTTATAGGTGTAACAGAACCAAAACATTCCCCGAATGGAGGCAACACCTCCCTAGTCTGGTGATTCAGAGTCTTTACTGAGGTAGTTACATTTCCTCTTGACATCTGACAGTTCTTAACTCCTGTACATATATTTGTCAAGCAGAGGGAAGGAATTTCAGGAGCATGCAAGTCCAAGCCTCGGCTGGTTGCTAGAGTGTAGCATGGTATCTTTTCAGCATCACCGCTTAGTTTTAGTGTTGGAAGTCTAGATTTACAAAGACCTTGGCACAGGTGTAATTTTGTTAAAAAGTGAGATCTAGTCAGCTCTCTCAGTAGTTTTACTTTCATCGCTTCACGCTGAACTGCCTAAAAAGAGAATGCAAGTATTAGTTCCTTGAAAAGAAATCATGTTATATTTTGTAGTATCTAGATATTTGTTTTGCATTCTAAATACATGAGTATCGACGGTTCTGAACACTTGCCCTACACTAAGTTTCAGATGCTGCCTAACGTCAAAATGTGTTTCTTGCACGTGACTAGAAGACAGGGAAGGAAAATCCAATGGTTGTGGTACTAGTAGGTAGGGAGGCAATTACAGCCAAATTCTGCCTTTCTGCATCACAAGGAGTAGCGTCTTAAACCCTGAATGACCCATTAGCTTCAATGAGTCATGGAGTAAGCTACTTGCTTACACTGCACAGGATGTCAGGATCTACACAGACTTTACTGTTCAAATAATGAGTTCTAGCTCTAATACCAG